ATTCGTCGCGACGACGTAACTCACGTCCGCGTCACCAGTTTCTTAGAACAAAAGCAAACAATTAATACAACAAAATCTAATAATTAACTCCTACCTGCGATGTGTGTCGGGATCTCGTTTTTTTTTTTTACTCGACGAAGGCCCTTCGTCTTACAGGAGGGAGATGGGAGATAGATGTAATTTTATGTAAAACAAATTTGTTTCATCGAATTTGTGTTCTCTCTCAGCGAGAAGGCATTAATATAAATAAACAAATGTTGTTGCTACCAAAGTTAAACAAGCGGAATGAAATAGAGACGAGATTAGGAGAGAGTAAACATACATATATATATCGTGACTTGAAGTGCACAGGGAAAATAATGATGAGAAGAAGAGTATACGTATCCTAATAATATCTGGTTTATTTGTGATCAACATACGTATCCCAAAAAAAGAAAATTATTACCAGATATTAAATAAAGTATATAATAAACAACAGAGTAATACTTACAGGTAATTGTCGCTTTCGTTTTACCAAAGAGATTAATAACCAACGGAATTTATGATGCTAGATAAATAGCACAAATCTCTCGGTACACTTTTAAATGTAAGAGTGTATGCGTTTCTTATTTTATATATATATAAATTTTATACATATATATAAACTTCATGGGTGTGTGCGTGTGTGTGTGTGTGTGTCAAGCAAATAAAACATACATCTAATAAAAACTATACAATATTCTTTGGTTTTAACAATCAGTACAAAGTTCGATTTTTACAAATATACGTGTATAAAAAATATATAAAACTCTCTTAATTAATTTTTTTTTTTTTTTAAATTGCTAAGTTTGCAACGTTTTCTCTTCTTTTTTCATAAATTCTATTATGTAGTCAGCGTGTGATAATGAAACAGTCTGTTAGCTACTTGGCGCAATCGTTCACTAAAGCGTTTCTCATGAGCGTCTGTTTTGCATTACACACTTGCGCGAGCGATTATTACGTCAAAATTGCGAACGATCTCATCGTCAAGGCTCATCGCGAAATAAATTCGTAACGAAGAATGTGCGAGTGTCATTTCGCTTTTTTTCTCTCGCTCGTGGCTTCTCTTCCTGCGTGCGATCTTCGTTTCGATAAATTTTTTACTTTGGCTTCTTTCTCTCTCTCTCTCTCTCTCTCTCTCTCTCGTGTTCCTTTCAACGTAACTAAATTCGTGGCACAAATTCGCGTTTCTAATTCACGTGCTCATTATCATAAGCAATTAAATTTAACAATACGGAGAGAGAGACTACACTTGGCAAACTCGCGTTAATTGTTCACACAAAGCTGAAAGGTTTCTTAAGAGAAACGATCACTCACGGAAGATTTTTCGCGCTAAGGCAAAGCGCACGTCTGCGCTTTACACGAGAGATTTCTTCTTTACGGGTTCTGCATCAAAGCTAAATCGTTATGTGTGCAATTATTATTAAAACAATGGATTAATCGCTCTGAATTTAAAAAATACAAAAAAAAAAAAAAAAAAAAGAAAAAAAGAAAGAAAAAAACAAACGGGATCACATTTAAGAATACACATCTCGAAACAATTTTTATACATACACTGCACATGTAATGTGATATTGAAACTAGCTGTTTGTCGTGACTACCGATTCGTTTTCATCATTAGAGCGGTATCTGTCGATTATTATTAACTTGTGTTTTAATATTTAAATTACTTGCTCTGAAATGAATAATCTTTCTAATGATTGATGAGATTACGCAAATGATACACGATAAAAAAAAAATTTATGCATGTACGGGAGAGATTTTTAAAAATATACATACAGGGTGTCCCAGAATTGCCGTACAATCTCTCGTAGGCAGGTAGAAGGAGTAAAACTGAGTCGAAAAGTCCTGAACCATTTTTTTCTATTATTTATAATAAAAGAGTAATTATTGAGTAAATCAGGCCAATCAGCGCAGATCTTTAGCCAGGCACACGTCAGTTAGCGCTCACACACACCAGGCGCGCGGCTCACTGACGTGCGCCTGGCTAAAGGTCTACGCTGATTGGCCTGATTTACTCAATAATTACTCTTTTATTATAAGTAATAGAAAAAAAATGTGATTCAGGACTTTTCGACTCAGTTTTTCTCCTTCTACCTGCCTACGAGAGATTGTATGGCAATTCTGGGACACCCTGTATATGACGTATATATGTATATGTGTAAAAATATATATTATCTTTTTTTTTCCTCTACATAAAATTAACGATACAAACATGTAAGAGCGCGCGTCCTCCCCCCCTCCCCTTATTGAACACCGATGTCGTATATCACCTAATTTTACATGAAAAAGTAGAAACAGTGAAAATTGCGTTTGGAACAACGTACCTATCCCACTGGCATAGCCAGCCGTCTGGCGCCACATTTTCCTCTAATCGTTCCAATTCGTGATTTGTACTAGTTAGCCACTTTTGAAAGTAGCTATCCTCTAAGCTACCCGCTGTCCATGCGGTAGACAATGTCTGCAACAATTCGATAATCGCGTGATTTTGACGATAAAGATCATCACGTTACATTTAAAAAAACCAAATTAAGATAATAAATCACAAATAAATGCTCACTTGCAGTTGTATTTGCATTGTTTGAACGGCGGAGACGCTTTCTCTTCCTTCAGAAAGAAACTTCAACTTCTCCGTTACAATTTGAGACAACTCGGTCATCTCTTTATCTTTTTCTTCCACATCCGCTGGTTTAGGCTCGACAGGCGACTCCGTATCGTACAACTCGTCCTTGGGAGCGGGTTTTTCCTCGCTCACGGCACCGACGCACTGTTCCGTCTCTTTGGTCGTTTCGTCGCGTTCTTTTTTGCTTTCCGCGCACGACGTACTTTGCGTTCCCGCGTCGCTGTCCTCCGTATTACGCGAAGTTTCGCTACTCGCGAGATCGCTGCTGTTATCGTCCTGAACCGCATTGTCATGATAAGCGTTATTCTGTTTCTTGGCGGACGTGACTGAAAAATCACAGAGAGAAAAAATTATCTTCAAGTATTAACTTATTTTCGCACGAAAATATTGTTTCAACGATATCAGCAAAAAAAAAAAGAAAAAAAAAAGAAAGAAAAAAAAAAGGGCAACTCTGGCGGAGAATAAAATCGACACAATACCGTCAAATGCTATTCGTCTTTTTCTTTGAAAGGCTTTGCCGCAAACTTGCTGTATGTCTTCGAGAAATATATTCGCCTTGGACTTCTCCTCGTCCACCTTCGAGTCCTTTTCCTCCGCGATTTTCTCCCGACTGGTTTTTGTTTCTTGGGTGTCTTCGTTGCCGTCGTTACACTGATCGGAAGCGGTAACGTCCGAACTTTTTGCAAGACTACTGTGAGTGTTTTTCAACGAGTTCGTCGGATTTGCGTACTCCTCCTCGTTCTGCGAAATCGGGAACAGAGGTTTTACATCCTGCTTGGACTTGACCTCTTCCTCGCCATCCGAATCGTCGCCGTAACCAGGTACTAGTGACACGTTGAGTTCCAATTTCTGAACTTCATTGTACGTTCTAACATCTTTTTTGTTCTTAATCGGATCTTCCGCGTTGTTGGTCTTGTTATCGGGTTTCGTCACCTTGCGCTCGTCACTCTTATTCGTGGAGTTCGACACCAAATCGGACTTGTACGAACGAGACTGACTCGCGCCGAGCGACTGCGCGCCCTGCGTCGGACAGAAAACAGGCCCGATTTCGCCGCTCGTTGGATACGATGTGAAACTCGCGTTTCCCGAATCTGACGAGCGCGACAACGACGTTTTCTTCTCGTCCGAGGAATTATCATCGTCCTCGGAGTCGCTCCCGTCACTGCCAAAAGACGTGATCATCTCTATTCGCCTACAGAGAGAAGTCAGAAAAGAATACGTTTTTTTATGTTATTAAAAAAATATAAGTTTCAGCTTAAATCGCAACATCTTGCAACTCAATTCGCAGTACCCGTCGTCCGAATCGTCGTCTTTCACAGGCGATTCTTTCTTGATTTCCGTCTTGATCTCCGAGTTGCATTTCTTCGGAACCTCGTTGTGCATAAACCTGTTGCGATTCCTAGCCACCACCTCCTGCGGTATCATACCTTCCGGTATATTTGTCTGCGATTGCCGATCTGCAACAATTACGCACGTCGATACGCAGTCTCGTTGATAAAACGCGCGCGAAACAAATACAGAGTAAAATTGTGAATTACATGTGATAGACGAGAAGTCCATCCAACGAGTTCCCTGGACCGAATGCTTCGTACCAGAACCCATTTCGGATTGTTTTCTTATCAAGCGCAACTCTTCCGGCATGTCCCATGTTGTCTCGTTGGTTTCGGTGTGCCAATAATAAGGATAACCTGAATCCTTATCGAAGCACTCTTGCCAAACTGAAAAAAAAAACACATTTAAGCACACTGACGTTATCACGATGCAATCCTTCCGTTATTTCATTTGCTTAATGCGCAATCTCTCTTACATGTCTGTTGACTTGTAGAATGCGTGGATTGCGAAGTTGTCTTGGTCGCTAAGCCGGGATGTACTGCGACATTATTTGGAACAGATTGTTCTGGGGCAATAAGTTGGATCTCCTACAATACAACTGTCAATGAAACTTCTGTGTACGCTCTTTGTTGAGAATATTTTTGCGTTGTGATGGATTACCTACCTTGAGAAAATCATTGACCTGGTCGTCCAACTTTTGCACGTCCTTCTTCGGATCCTCCGTATCGCTGTCGGAATTGTATTGACACAAATTGGCCAACGGATTATTGACTTCGCTTTGAGTCGATTGTACATTATTCAGTGGCTTGCATCTACCTGCATCACACACGTGTAATTTACAAACAACACGTACAAACGATATACCAATGGCTCTTTTTAAAAAAAGTTTGCAAGATAATCAAATTACTAATAGATCGCGGTAATAAAAAAAACTTCTCGAAGAAAAAACTTCGAATTGCTCGAACGTTAACAAAGTTGAAGATTTTTTGTGGATTCCGACACTCACTCTGTGTGTAATCGATGTGGTAATTGCTCTGCGGCTTGTTAAGCGTCAAAACCGGCCTTCTTTGCCGTCTTTTCATAATAAAGAAAATCAACCGAGCTATGTGAAAAAATACAGTCAAATCCCTAAGTAATTCGAGCGAATTTTACGCTCCTTACGATCAACCCTGATCTTTGCTCGTGTGCATTTTTACGTAAACCGGCACACAGTTTTCACTTACACGGATTTGTTTAATTAGCTACGCATTGTGTCGCGCGACGAAGTCACTCTCAACTAAAATACAATCTTGTATGCGTGTGTTTCGACTTGTAAATTCATTAGATCGCACAATCTAACCTACTACATTACACCCATTTGTATAAATATGATCGCGCATCGAGATATAGTTCAACCAGAGAGAAGACTGAGCAAGACTGAGAGCGATTAGGTCTGTAAAGCCTGTTCTACATTGATCGCAAGCGCAAACGCAAGAAAAAGATCTTGTAGAATTGACCAATCACGCTGGTCAATTGGCTGAATTGATCAATACGATTAGTCAATTCTACCAGACCTGTTTCTTGCGTTTGCGCTTGCAATCAATGTAGAACAGGCTTAAGAGAATGGGTGCGTTCAGACAATTCAATAGTTGCACAACGGTTGAGAGATAATCACTTCTGATTGGATCGTACTTTTGGAACCGCTACAGATTTTGAAGAATAGTCCTATCATAAGCGATGATCTCTCAACCGTTGAGTTGTCTGAACGCACCTATTGGGTGGACTTATGATAGGACTATTCTTCTGATAGTCTTATGGGATTCTGATAGTCTGATAGGACTTATGATAGGACTATTCTTCAAAATCTGATGCGGTTCCAAAAGTATGATCCAATCAGAAGTGATTATCTCTCAACCGTTGTGCAACTGTTGAGTTGTCTGAACGCACCCAATCTGTAATCGCTTTTCCGCCCTGTAAGGCCTGGTTTATGCGGGCAATGGGTGCGTTCAGACAACTCAACAGTTGCACAACGGTTGAGAGATAATCACTTCTGATTGGATCATACTTTTGGAACCGCAGCAGATTTTGAAGAATAGTCCTATCATAAGTAATGATCTCTCAACCGTTGAGTTGTCTGAACGCACCCAATAACTGTTAACTTATGCCGGAACCGGTAAAGTTTAACTATATGATTTTAATACTTCTGTTTATACAAAATTGCCGAATGCGTATAAACAGAAGTATTGGAATCCTATAGTTAAACTCTACCGGTTCTGGCATAAGTTAACAGTTATTGCCCGCATAAACCAGACCTAAGCCAGCGCAATGTCCGTGAGCGGTGCAATTGGGTGCGTTCAGACAACTCAACGGTTGAAAGATCATCATTCATAATAGGAGTATTCTTCAAAATCTGCAGTGGTTCCAAAAGTATAATCCAATCAGAAGTGATTATCTCTCAACCGTTGTACAACTGTTGAGTTGTCTGAGCGCACCCATTAGCCCTGGTTTATGCGGGCCTAAGATTTTAATATTTCTGTTTATTAACAGAAGCATAACAGAATATAACAGAAGCATTGAAATCCTATAGTTGAACTGTACTAATTCTGGCATAAATTAACAGTTATTACCCGCATAAACAAGGCCAAAACAAGGCCTTATTTGCCCGCATAAACCAGGCCTTAGCAACTATGTAGCCATGTCCACGAATGACTTGTCGATACGTACGTTAAAACGTGGACATGGTTCTATGGGTGCGTTCAGACAACTCAACGGTTGAGAGATCATCACTTACGATAGGACTATTCTTCAAAATCTGCTACGGTTCCAAAAGTATGATCCAATCAGAAGTGATTATCTCTCAACCGTTGTGCAACTGTTGAGTTGTCTGAACGCACCCTATTTTAACACGTCACGTGACAGGGAAAAAAGGAAAAACAACACACGTGACTTAAGAGGCACGGGAGTTTACTTTTGTCATATGTCTTTGACTGCGTTCCGATATTAACTGCCAGTAAAATCTAGATTTGTGATATCAGGAAAGTAAAATGTGACAAAAAGTTGACGACTCTAAAATTCTCTGAAGTGGTTTGAGTCTTCGCTAAAAGCGTCGGTAATAGTTTGGTTTTAGGTTTAGGTTAGTTTGATTTAGGGTTTCAACTGCGTTGCAACCATTCTTATTTAATATTAAAGTTAAAAGATGATTTATTCAAGAAATAATTTTAGAACGAACAACACCGTAAAGAGGAAATGTATTGTACAGCAGAGATTGTTTAATATATTTTGTGAAGATGAGAAAATGGACGCTGTCAATCCTACACCTCAGGATTTGCAGAGGAAGCTTTACTTCCTGGTGGAGCAATTGCAACACATGGCCGGGGAGCTTCCGCCTAAATATCAGATGCGACTGCCGTACGAACTGCTGTCCGGTCTGGCAAATTCTTTGCTGAACGACACCATCTTTGAGATCGTGAAAGGTTTGATGGAGATACAGCACGTCACCGAAAAACACTTGTTTCAACAACGGCTCCAACTCCTGAATCAGCACAAGATCGAATGTCAGGAAGCATTGTCCGCAGCGACAACGGAGGAGGAACAGACAGCGATGAAGGTGGCGCTACAGAAGAAGCACAAGGACGAGCTAAAGGAGTTGGATATGAAGTTGGTGTTGCAGCTGGATCAGAAAGTGACGGATCAACAGAGCATACTGGAAAAGGCAGATGTTCCTGGGTTCTATGTGACAAATAATCCAACGGAAATTCAAGTACAAATGAGACTGTGCGATTTTATAATAAGACTCAGTAAAATGGACGTACCAAGTTGATATAGTATTTATCACTTAAATTTAAGAGATACTCTTTGTCATATTTATAATAAAATTTATACATTATAAGAAAGTTTTTTTGCGTGTTACTTTATTAATATGAATTTATTATATAAATTTCTGTTTGTTGTCGCAAATAATTGCAGTCTTTAAGAGTGATATTTTTTCCAGAAAGAAAAAACAAGAGATTTATTATAAAATGCTTTATTTAAGTCAAGATCATTTTGTACAGTGCATACGTAACATTGTCTAATCACAACACTTAAGTAAAATGTATGCAAAATGTGTTTTCCTCTATGTGTTAAGAACAAAAGTACTTTCGTTAAGTTATATACAAGAACATTATATTTCCGATATTTCTTATAAGAAAAATCGAATCTTATAAAATAAAAAAATTTATTATATATCATCACTATTGTATCATTATTTACACAAACATCAATATCACAATAGTTACATTTTTACTGTTCTTATTATTATACATTTGGATTTCTCTTTCGCGCGTTTGTTACATTAATGTAACAAACTTAAGTTTTATCATAACATATCTGAATATAATATATTAATTAATGAATTCGTATAATATGATTTAAATACCTTAAGATTATCGATATATCTGTAAAACGTTCTATTTTGTGATATGTGCACAAGTCCAGGGGGTTCAAACTCGCCGTATTTTTTGGCTCCGGAAGTTTTAGTAGTTCATTTCGGAGGTGCCCTAGGCCAGGCGGCAGCACAGTCGGTTCCTCTCTCTTCCTCTCTTCTCCCCTTGCCAACAAGTCGCTGAGTGCCATTA